CCTGACCAGCCGGGCTGTGGTTTGTACGTTGGGTTGTGTGCAACCAGCAGTAACAGCCTGGTTGATCAGGCCCTGATCCACCATGAGGCCTGGTCACAGACTGGGCCGCGGGGGCGTTGACCCCCAGAACTCCAGGTTATTAATATGTTATTATATTGTCATATGGTGTCTGGAATGGATTAATTCTATTTATATTATTTTTTATGGGAAAAACTGCTTTGGGTGTCGTTGATTTTGGTTGTCGAATCGACACCTGGAACAAATTAAATTCGAAAACAGAGGTTCCACTGTACTGGACTACAGACTACTACATCAGTACCATAATCTTCCATCGCTTCCTCCCTTGCAACGGGTTTGGTGCCTACTTTGCCAAGGGCCATACATTGTCCACTGACAAATGGTGCACATTCCTAGGCTTGCTGATTTCCTCTGTGTGAACAATACAGATGTGTTTGGAACAGTGAGAACAAGTAGAAAACATATGCCAAGGTTCACTGTGGGCAGTGCTGATGGTGCACAGCAGCATCAGCAATGTAGGGTGCCACTCTGTCTGACACACCATTTCATACACTTCGGCACATCTAACAACATTGTAGGTACCTATAAATAATTTGCATATATTTGCAGAAAGTAGTATGTGACCGAAGCGAGTGTCAATGTGTAAATGTGTGTTTGTGACTGTTTCATTACTATTTCTGTATCTAATATCTGTGTCAAAATGATTAGCTATGAAATCAAAAGATCTACTATAAATTGTAATTATCAGAACATGTGAGCATCTTTATATCTCAGTAAGTACTTACCCTAAATTTTTTTATTAAAGCACTTAGAAAATTAACCTCTGTCTTTTTAGAGATATTTTTCAAAATATTCGGAGTGCTAGGCGAGGATGCATTGATCAATGTTTTGATAGTTTTAGGGTTAAATAAGGTTTGGTAACATTTTATAATTCATACTAAATCAAATTTCATGCTATTCAATTATTATTATTATAATCAAGGGGAAGCGCTAAACCCGTAGGATTATACAGCGCCTGGGGGGGGATATGGAAGGCATTCAGGCTTAATTCGGGGAACTGGAGCACAGATCCAATTCCCTAAATCAAGAGCCCCTCACCAACATTAAGGAACCATCCCTGAGGGACATGCTATTCAAAATTGTACTAATTGAGGCTTTGCTGTACTGCCTGGTCTGGCAAGGTGTGTATAGTACTACGTACTTTGTCCCAAAGCTCATAGGTTCAAGTCTCCTCCAGCCTGAGATAAATGTTTGCAAATATTTTGCTTGTTTTGTAAAGTCTAAACATACATATATATGTATAAACAAGATATTAATGATATTAACAATAAAATAAATTAAATGAAAGTAACTCAAATGTATAATACCAAGGTACATGAGAATAAGAACACATAGATTATACTATATTTAAATTATTCAGACAATTCAAAGTAAAAATTCTAATAAAAATTACAATAAAACTGAAACTAGTTATTTGAATTAATATAAATTATGACAAGATAGTATATGGCTATCTAGTAATATATGAGAGTTGAAGGAGAGCTGCAACAAGAATAGAAAAGTACTAAATGACAAACAGGGTTTCAGGAGCTGTTTAGCATGATAAACTGCTGTCAGGATCACATTAAGGTTGGCAGACAGGGAACCTCTGGTATCTTCAGGTAAAGAGTTTCAGATTTTAGGTCCTCTCATATACAGTGGACTCTCGAGTTACGAACCTACCGATTATCGAGCTTTTCAAGTTTAGAACGCTTTTTTCGAACCAATTTCCTTCCGAGTATCGAACTCTACCCGTCTTTCGAATCGCCAGGTACCAGACCTGTCCGCCAGCCCGCTCTGTCCACATCCCCGCACAGGCGTCATGAGCCATTCTGGCTTTGTTGATGCTCGAGTGAATACTAACCTGAGTGCTCATTCAAACATTAACTATTAATTCCATTGTGTTTAGTGCTTGTGCGACTGTGGAATAAGCTACCATGGGCCCAAAGAAACTTGCTAGTGGTACCTCTGTGGTAAAGAAAGTGAGAAACACCATAGACTTGAAGAAGGAAATAATACAAAAATATGAGAGTGGTGAGAGAATTGTTGAGCTTGCCACGATGTACAGCAAAAGCAAGTCGACCATCGCTTCTATCCTGGCAAAGAAAGAACAAATCAAGGAAGCTGATGTGGCGAAAGGTGTTGATATGCTAACCAAAAATAGACCACAGACAGTCGATCAGGTTGAGAAGTTGTTGCTGGTGTGGATCAAGGATAAAGAGATGGCAGGTGATAGTGTTTCTGAGACAATCATTTGTGAAAAGGCATGCCGACCTGGCAAAGAAAACTCCTGGAACCAGTGGATTTAAGGCCAGCAAAGGCTGGTTTGAAACATTTAAGAAGCGTAGTGGCATACACAATGTTGTAAGGCATGGTGAGGCAGCCAGTTCAGACAAATGGGCAACTGAGAAGTTTGTACAGGAGTTTAAAGGGTACATAGACACTGAAAAATTCAAACCCCAACAAGTGTTCGGTTGTGATGAAACAGGCCTATTTCGGAAGAAAATGCCAAAGAGGACCTACATCACACAGGAGGAAAAGGCACCCCCAGGGAACAAGCCTATGAAAGACAGGCTAACTCTCTTGTTCTGTGCTAATGCTAGTGGTGATTTTAAAGTGAAGCCTTTACTTGTGCATCACTCAGAAAATTCCAGTGTGTTTAAGAAAAACAATGTTATTAAGAACAAGTTATGTCTTGTGGAAAGCAAATAATAAGGCATGGGTCACAAGGCAAATTTTCAAAGAGTGGGTTAATGATGTGTTTGGCTCAAGTGTGAAAAAATACCTCCTGGAAAAGAAATTGCCACTCAAGTGCCTCCTGGTACTGGACAATGCTCCTGCACATCCTCCAGACTTGGAAGACCAAGTGTGTAGGGACTTCAATTTCAACACAGTGAAGTTCTTGCCTCAAAACACCACTCCTCTCCTCCAGCCCATGGACCAGCAGGCCATTTCTAACTTCAAAAAACTCTACACAAAAGCAGTGTTTGAAAAGTGCTTTGAAGTGACCTCTGACACTCGGTTGACCCTAAGAGAGTTCTGGAAAGATCACTTCACTATCCTCAATTGCATAAGCTTTATAGGTAAGGCTTGGGAGGGAGTGATTTCCAGGAGAAAATTGTGGCCAGGTTGTGTCCAAGTGAGGGATTTTGAAAGGTTTGAGACTGACCCTGACCCTGCCAACCCTGTGGACTCTATTGTGGTACTGGGGAAGTCCCTGGGGTTGGAGGCGAGTGATGAGAAATGTAGAAGGGTTGGTGGAGGACTACAGGGAAGAGCCTACCACTGAAGAGCTGCAAGAGCTTCAACTTGAACAGCAACAGATTGCAGCTGAGGAACTTACTTCAGAGGAGGAGGAAGAGGGAGTTAAGGAGGTGCCTTCTTCAGAGGTTAAAGAGGTGTGTGCAATGTGGATCAGGGTGCAAGCTTTTGTAGAGAAGCACCACCCTGACCAAGCTGAAACAAGCCATATCTGCAACATGTTCAGTGACATGGAAATCTTAAAGAGACACCAGAAACAGACCTCTATGGATAGATTTGTTGTGAGACAGGGGTCCAGTGACTCTAAAGCTGGTCCTAGTGGCATTAAAAGACAAAGAAGGGAAGTAACCCCAGAGAAGGCTTTGCTAACTAAAGTCTTTATGGAGGGGGATTCCTCTTCCAAACACTAACTCCTCCTCCATATCTTCCAGAAGCCAGCATTAGCCTTCAGTAAGGGTATATAATTTTACATAAATGTTAAAAAATTATTCTTTTTTGTGAATATTTTTGTCTGGAACACATTAATTGTATTTCCATTAATTCTTGTGGGAAATATTATTTCGGTTTTCAGCCATTTCGGTCTTAGGCCGAGCTTCCGGAATGGAGCTTCCGGAATGGATTACAGCCAATAACCGAGGGTCCACTGTATATAGAAAGCCCCCTTGTTATGCAGAGCATTTCGGGCAAATTAGGTCCTCGTCCCAGGATGCAACCCACACCAGTTGACTAACTCCCAGGTACTTATTTTATTGATGGCTGAACATAGGCAACTGGTGTAAAGAAACATGCCCAATGTTTCTACCCACGCTAGGAACTGAACGCAGACCCTTGCCGTGTGAAGTGAGAGCTTTAGCGATCAAGCCACGGCCTGACCTGTTGTTGAGGTGGGACTTTATGATGCACAATATTGTGCTCTACTGTATCTATAACTTTCCTAAGGTCTTTAAAGAGGTCCAGTGGGTGTAATGCGGTGTATATAACAGTTTATACCTCACTAGTGACTGTAGGATATAATGCAGTGTATATACCAGTTTATACCTTACTATGACTGTAGGGATATATAAGTCAGTATATATATCAGTAATACCTCACTAAATTGCACAAGTCTAGCATTTTTATAAATGTAGTTAGTACTTTTATTTGGCCTGATAAAGTGGGAGGGATGGTGTATACTGTGACACTAATAATGAATATACTTTCTTGTGGATTAATTTTTCATAATGCTCGAGTTCTGACAAAGGTCAACACTGTACATTAACCCGCCAATAGTTACCCTTTCCTATTCTTTACAATACGTGGAGTGTTTTTGAAGATTCTTCGCAGTACATGCAAGAGTATTTCTTGTTGTTGTTGGGTTTATAAGGGCCACTGACAGCATAAGCTGTATCGAGCCCGACTTGTCAATTCAATTCAATTCAATTCAATTTAAGTTTATTCTCTATAAGGGTTACAATGTGGGGTTTACAGGTTTTGGGTATTGTGTGGTTTACATGTTATAAAATACTAATTACAGAGGGGCCACTAGGACGCCTAGCACGAGTAAGATTTGTTGCCAAGGCTGGGCGCTGAGAGAACAGGAACAAAAAATTCCTTTGTAAATAGAGATAGAAACTTGAAGTTTCCAATTAGATCCGGTGGACCCCCTTGCCAAGCCCCCAGCAGAGCGGGACGCCCACACCCACCTGAGCTCAGTAACCGATTTCCCATCAAAGACCGCTAAAGTATTATCCCCAGAGCGGGAAAAAAAATGGAGCTGGCTAAAAGCCGATGAACAGGTGCCCCTCCTGTAGAGTGCCCGGCGGGAAAAATTGATGGAGGAGAAGCGTCCCAGAGAGAACGGGTGAAATTTATCACCGCTATTCAGGCGAGAGAGAGACGCCCACACCCGACGAAGGCTGGCGAGAAGTCCCAAGAGTATTCATGTTTTTGTTGGGTTTGTAAGGGCCACTGACAGCTTACGCTGTATTGAGCCCAGCTTTCCGATGTAATTTGATTCAGGTATACACAGTTACATTGATCTTCATACATAGCAGCCCTTGAAGCCAAACATGAGGCCTTAAGCTGTATTGATAACTTAGTCACACAGCACACACTCTCGCAAATTATTTACGTTGATGGTTCTGTTCACCAATCCACTGGTGCAGCTGGTAGTGCTGCTGTTGTCGTACAGAGTGATGGCTCTCTTAAAGAAATTGGAGCACGCATCAATAATTGGGCCTCTACCCTTCAGACAGAACTGTTTGCCATACTCCTTGCACTGAAATGCATCTATGTATCAAAGATTGACAGTTTAATTGTAACTGATTCTCTGTCATCCATAAATGCTCTCAACTCATTAAGCATAAATTGTGGCATGCTTGTGTCAGAAGCCAGACACAGGTATGGTAGGATTGTGGACAGTGGAGTCAGAGTGCACATGCTGTGGATTCCATCTCACATTGGTCTTCAGATGCATGATAGAACTGATAAATTGGCTAAGCTGTATGCTTTCAAAGAGGGAGTAGATTACAATCTTGGCTTGTCAGGTAGTAGTTTGAGAACAATAATACGAAAAGAACTTCAGCTGAATTTTATGGACTTAAGGCTCAGGGAGATTGACACCAGTGAGTCCATCTATCATCATTCTATCATGCAGGAGGAGCCACATGTCTATGGTGCATCCAACAAAATAAGCAGACTCTTGGATGTCACTACCGCCCGGCTCCGGCTGGGTTACAAGTATCTTTGCCAGGTTAAATCACCACCACCAGATGTAGACCAAACGAAATGTAAACTTTGCCAGATGGATTATTGTCACACCCTGCGTCATTATGTACTGGAGTGCGATAAAATTAATGAATTTAGAAACAACTCACTCAGAAGTGTTCAAGAAATGGCTAAGTATTTTATCCACAGTGGTATATTACAGACCATTCTGGAGAAATACCCTGACTTTGCTAGCTGTAAATAAAGCATTACCACATATGTTCATGTGTGTGTGTGTACTCACCTAGTTGTACTCACCTAGTTGAGGTTGCGGGGGTCGAGTCCGAGCTCCTGGCCCCGCCTCTTCACTGATCGCTACTAGGTCACTCTCCCTGAGCCGTGAGCTTTATCATACCTCTGCTTAAAGCTATGTATGGATCCTGCCTTCACTACATCGCTTCCCAAACTATTCCACTTACTGACTACTCTGTGGCTGAAGAAATACTTCCTAACATCCCTGTGATTCATCTGTGTCTTCAGCTTCCAACTGTGTCCCCTTGTTACTGTGTCCAATCTCTGGAACATCCTGTCATTGTCCACCTTGTCAATTCCTCTCAGTATTTTGTATGTCGTTATCATGTCCCCCTATCTCTCCTGTCCTCCAGTGTCGTCAGGTTGATTTCCCTTAACCTCTCCTCGTAGGACATACCTCTTAGCTCTGGGACTAGTCTTGTTGCAAACCTTTGCACTTTCTCTAGTTTCTTCACGTGCTTGGCTAGGTGTGGGTTCCAAACTGGTGCCGCATACTCCAATATGGGCCTAACATACACGGTGTACAGGGTCCTGAATGATTCCTTATTAAGATGTCGGAATGCTGTTCTGAGGTTTGCTAGGCGCCCATATGCTGCAGCAGTTATTTGGTTGATGTGCGCTTCAGGAGATGTGCCTGGTGTTATACTCACCCCAAGATCTTTTTCCTTGAGTGAGGTTTGTAGTCTCTGACCCCCTAGACTGTACTCCGTCTGCGGCCTTCTTTGCCCTTCCCCAATCTTCATGACTTTGCACTTGGTGGGATTGAACTCCAGGAGCCAATTGCTGGACCAGGTCTGCAGCCTGTCCAGATCCCTTTGTAGTTCTGCCTGGTCTTCGATCGAGTGTATTCTTCTCATCAACTTCACGTCATCTGCAAACAGGGACACCTCAGAGTCTATTCCTTCCGTCATGTCACTCTCCCTGAGCCGTGAGCTTTATCATACCTGTGTGTGTGTGTGTGTACTCACCTATTTGTGGTTGCAGGGGTCGAGTCCTAGCTCCTGGCCCCGCCTCTTCACCGGTTGCTACTGGGCCCTCTCTCTCCCCGCTCCATGAGCTTTATCAAACCTCGTCTTAAAACTGTGTATGGTTCCTGCCTCCACTACGTCATTTTCTAGGCTATTCCACTGCCTTACAACTCTATGACTGAAGAAATACTTCCTACTATCTCTCTGACTCATTTGTGTCTTCAACTTCCAATTGTGGCCTCTTGTTTCTGTGTCCCCTCCCTGGAACATCTGTCTTTGTCCACCTTGTCTATTCCACGCAGTATTTTATATGTCTTTATCATGTCTCCCCTGCCCCTCTGTCCTCCAGTGTCGTCGGGCCCCGTTTCCCCTTAATCTTTCTTATAGGAATTCCCCTTATTTGGGAACAAACTTGTCGCAAAACCTTTGTACTTTCTCTAGTTTCTTGACGTGCTTTTCAAGTGGGGGTTTCCCAAAACAGGGCTGCAACTCCAGGGGGGCCCTGACAAAACCGGTGTACAGTGTTTTAAATGTTTCCCTTACTAAGGTTTTGGGAAAGCTGTTCTCAGGTTTGCCAGGCCCCCATTGCTGCGAGTTATCTGTTGATGTGTGCTTCCGGAGACATGCTCGGTGTTATTCCCCCCAAAGATCTTTCCCCTTTGGTGAGGTTTCATTTTTGGCCACCAGCCTATCTTGTTTGGGGTCTTCTGTGCCCTTCCCTTTTTCTGACTTTGCATTTGCAGGATTAAATTTCGAGAACCCATTTGCTGGCCCAGGTGTCCAGTCTGTCCGGGGTCTCTATAAAGTCCTGTGGTCTTCACAGTTTTAAATTCCCCTCATTAACTTACATCATCAGCAAACAGGGACACTTCTGAACCCAAACCCCTTCCCGTCATGTCGTTCCATATACCAAAAAAACCCCTGGCCTAGGACCGACCCCTGTGGGACCCCGCTCGTCACGGTGCCCACTGTGATACTCATTCGACCTGATGTTGTTGCCCCCCCTGCAGGTTTCTCTGACCCATTGCGTGCCCTTCTTTTTATGCCCCGTGTCTAGCTTCTGCACTATCTCTTGGAGGAACTGTGTAAAAGGGCCTTCTTGCAGTCAAGAAGATGCAATCAACCCCCCCCCTCTCTCTCTTGTCTTACTTTGTTTTTTTATCGAAAAAACCCAAAAGGTTTGTGACAAGGATTTCCCTTTCCGTGAATCCGTGCTGGTTGGCATTTTACCCTGTTCCGCCCAGGTGCCCCACCACTCTCCTCCTGACAATCTTCCCTAATTTTGCATACTAAAACCGTCAATGACACAGGTCTATAGTTTAGTCCCTCTTTTCTGTCTCCTTTTTTTAAAAATGGGAACACTTTTGCCGTCTTCCATACTCAGGTAGTTGCCCAGTTTCCGGGATGTGTTGAAGTTTTGGGGCAAGTGGCACGCAAACTATTGCTCCCTCTCTAGGCCCACGGGGAGATGTTGCCCGGTCCCATTCCCTTTGAGGTATGATGCCCCTTTTGCAGTTTCTTCACCTCCTCCTCATCTGATGTTGTCGCCCAACATTGTTGGGGTTTTCCTTGGGTGTCCCCATTGGTCTGCCCCCCCCGAGTTTTCCCTGTCTTACGTAAATTTTTCCTTAAATCTCGTTTTGGCCCCTCAATACCTCTTGATCGTTTCTTGTGGTTTCCCCTTTTTTTCCTCACCCTTATCCCCTGGTCCTTGATTTTGTTTTCCCTCCAAAATGTGGCTATCAACAGTTTGGGTCAGATTTGACTTTCGATGCTTGTGTTTTCATATTCGCTGGGCCCTCCTCCTTATCTGTCTCTCGTTTCTGGTCTTCTACTAATCCCCTTTGTTTTCCTGGGTCCTATGCCTCTGTCCCTTTTCCATTCTCTTTTGCACTTATTTTTTGCCCCCCTTTCCCCTTTCGGGTAAACCAAGGACTCTTTTTGGTCTTCTATTTTTTTCTGTTTCCCTTGGGAACAAAACTTTTCCTCTGCCCCCTTGCACTTTGTTGCCACATTTTCCCATCATCTGTTTATGTTTTTCCCTCCATGCTCTGTCCCACTAAACCCCCTGCAGGAAGTTTCTAAACCCTGTGTAGTCCCCCTTTAATTTTGGGCCTGTCCCTTCAGTCCTTTTATCTTCTCCATTTGGGTAACTCTACTATATAGCAAAATCAGCACCACATGATCGCTAGCTCCAAGGGGTTCGTAATGATTTAAAGCCCGAACTGCTCAGGGTGAACACAGACCCAGTCTTGCGGCTACCTCCCCTCTCTCTCTGGTTGTGTCCCTGCATGTTGATGATGAGGTTTTCAAGTCCCACACCCATCATCTTGGCTCTCCATGTTTCGGGACCCCCATGTGGTCCGGTTTTTCCCCGCGATCTCCCTGTGGTTGAAATCGCCCATTACCAGTAACTTTGTCGCTGAGGAGCTCTTCTTGCCACCCACCCGTGTGTCCACCATCACCTGTTGTTTTCTTGTACCCCTCTCTTGGCCCCTGCATTTCTGTGGGGGGTTTTTACACACCCCAAATGAACTTTTGTTTCGGACTGAATTGTCCCTACTTTAGTCCTTTCTCCAATCATGTCCATGCCTTCCATTTCCTAAATCTCCATCCGGTTTTTTATGGAGTCCCCCCCTCCCCCCCCTCTACTCCTTTATCTTTCCTCAGGATTGATATCCTGTTGGGAAGTTGTTTGTTATTGTTCAGCGGTTTTGTTTCTGTGACTGCTAGATGTTGGGGATTTTTTCACTGATTCTTTCTTTCCCATTCCTCATGTTTATTCGTTTTTCCCATCCGCGTTTGTGTCCCAAAACCCTTTTAGTTTTTTTCTATCATTGTGGTCATGCAAAATATTGGGGTTGGGGAGCGAGAGCCTTGGGGGGGGCCTATATGGGGCTGTGGGTAGGGGGGGTTTGTGTTGA